GAATGAATGATACTTTGAAAAAGCTCCATATAGGATTGCGCCATGCACTCGATTTTCATCTCAAAAAGTAGTTGCTCGCATGTGATGTGTATATAATCCCGCTTATGCGGGCTAACCGCTACACACAAAGAAGGGCCTCAAAACTTACCCCAGAATGCGCCACGTACTCAATCTCATCCACTACATTGTGAGATTAGATGAATGTTATTTTCCGAATTCTTAGATCTTCATTTCGTTTTTAAGCGCTTACTGGCTTTACGTGTTCCCTCTGCTCTCAATATCCCATCCTCTGTATATCAAGTGGAATCTTTGAACAGTTCTCAGCAGGCATAGTGGGCCTATTATGTGACATTTTCCATTTTCAGAGGAGATGTTTTGCAGAAAGCTGTGAAGATAGCGAACAATTTCCTTCACTGTCGTAGACTACGGTCACTTGTCTGTAAGGATTATATGGAAACCTTGGTCGCAGGTGAGCGTTTCTTCCGTGGTGTGACCCCAAACATCACCCCTTGTCATGCCTTTGCCCCCTATTACGTGACAAGTCCCATTTTTAGAGGAATGTTTTGTAGAAAGCTGTAAAGGAAGCGAAGAATTTCCTTCACTGTCGTAGACTATGGTCACTTGTCTGTAGGAATTATGTGGAAAACTCGGTCGCAAGTGAGCGTTCCTTCCGTGGTGTGGCCCCAAACATGCCTCCTCGTCATGCCCTTGTGGAAAGTTCAGATTTTTTGCATTTCCAGATGAACTCGCAGACCTGAAATGTGCCCCGTTAGCTTCCCCGTGAAAAATGCTATCGAATGATATGCATTACTTCCCCAGTTGAAACTTTGGTTTTTCACCGTTTTCAGCCTTCCCCTATTGCCGGATTGGGCATATCCCACGATTACTGCCCCAAAATCTCAAAGTTTCATTTTTCGTCGAAACTTTGTCTATTGGGGTAATTCGATGCCCTGATTACGAATATGACATTCATTTTTGATGCTGGCAGGGGCGTCTAGATTGTTTGGGCTCATTTGGCGTAATAACTGAGGATGCCCTGATTACGGATAATGAATATATTTGTTCATTATACAATGGTGTCATTTGGCGCCAATTTGGCGCCACAGCTGTTTTCACCAAATCTGCTGAAACTTCGTCATTTGGGGTTATTTGGGGTCCTGATTACGAAAACGACACCCGTTTTTGGCGCTGGCGCCGTTTGGCGCCAATTTGGCGCTACGGCTGTTTCCACCAAATCCGCTGAAAACGTGGGTATAGGGGTTATTTGGGGTCCTGATCGATATAACATCCAGTCTTGACGCCGGCGCCATGTGGTGTCACAAACAACACTTCACAGTCAGAGCGTACTCTTAGGCACCTTTCTCAGAGCGCCGACTGTCAGACCGTGGAAAAGGTCATCGAATCCGAGACTTTCTCACGACAGGAAGGAGACAGACCGTGGAAAACCGTGGGCTAAGCCTTCACTTTTTTCACAGGAGATGCCTGTATGCGTTGGGCAGAGCAGCAATTCGACTGTAAGCTCTGGAGCTGTCACTGAGGATGGTTGTACCAGGCTCGGATGTTGATGAGCCGCAGTAGAGTTGAAACGTCTCTCCTTCGAACCATCCGAAGGAGTCTACTTCCTCTTTCAATGCCTCCAAACAGCCACTTGTGCCTGCGTACCCAACGTCGGCGGTTGTATTTGCGTTTGATAACCAGTGTTTCGTCAATTTCCATCTCGCACCCGAACCTTCCGATGATCGGCGGGTTCTTCCTGAAGTGCCCCACACATACGTCGCGGAAGAACCGCTCCCACTGAATTGAACTGGTGTGGTCGACGCTGAGCTCGCCCATGTCGCGCAGCTAGAAATAGGGCAGTGCGAACACCGTGGACTCAGGAAAGTTACAGTTCTCGAAAAAAGAATCCTTTCGGGCATGAACGTAGACCCTGGTCTCGTTGGACGGTCCAGTGCGGCACGCTCGACGATTGCAAATCCAGCCGTTGTGCCGTTCGTCGTTGATCAGGCTCATAGATCGTTGACATGAAGGGCATAGTGACACAGACATCAACCCTGGATCGCAACCAGTAAGTGCAGATTCATTCAACTTGAGCGTCTCGTACACGTCCTTCAACTATAGCTAGAAGCCAGGTGGGCTCTCATCTGACGTGTGCGGCTAAAGTAGTAGCAAGAGGGCCAAAAGTGCTGGAAAGTTATTACGTCCTACGTTGTCGAAAACGTGAGACTTGCTTCTGGCTCCTTCCTGTCGTGGGTAAGTTTGTTCGACGACCTTTTCCACGGTCTGACAGTCGGCGCCTTGAGAAAGGTGCCCAAGAGTGCGCTCCGACTGTGAAGTGTTGTTCGTGACACCAAATAGCGCCGGCGTCAAGACTGGATGTTATATTCGTGATCGACGAAGTTTCGACGAAAAATGAAACTTTGTGAGTTGGGGCAGTAATCGTGGGATAGTGCCCACCCAATGCGTCAATAGGGGAAGTTCAAAAGCATATTCTTATAGTGTCCGACGAGCTGAATTCAAAGATATCTTCGGATTCTCGAAAGCTCAATTTTGAACCGAGTTATAACGAATTCACGAAATTAACGAGGATTCGCGTTATTCGCGTGAATTTTCGATTTCAAACGGCGAGTACTGTACCTCTAAACGTAAACACGACCTTTACCTGGCACCTGTTCTGGCGAGTTCTGAAATGTTCATTCATATTTTTTTTCGAAGATCACGCAATATAAGGGGCTCCTCGTAGTAAAGGTCGCCTATAGTCTGACTATTCATTTGATTGAGAATCCGCTAGATGACAAAAATTTTTGATGAGGCTCCGTGATCACCTCACAGGAAGCAGCCTCCTCGAGAGTTACCTATCGCACACCAGCGTTCACTCAGGCTGAAAATAGGTGGTGGCTCTACCGATTCTGCCCAAAACTTGGATTTACACGTCTAAAAATCAGAGGAAAAATTAATATGTGAGCAAATTGTTTGGAAGTACTCACAACTCGCTTCTTATCTCCTAAACCGCACGCGTAGTTCGCTGGTTTCAAGTCGCGATGTATAAACCCATATTTATGAAGATCCTCACAGGCTTCCAGGCACTGAATAGATGCGCCGAGACCGGTTGAAATTGTGAAAACCTGGAAACTGGCTGTTTGAAACCTCTGACTCATGAAGTCTCTTTTAGCGCGAACAACGATATTCAGCAACTTTTGCGGTGCTTCAAGGCGCAAACATGTGAGAGCACAAATTTTTTGAAATTTTGATGGAGGTGCTCGCCATTCCTAGAGAAAACTAACAAGTGGAATGATTATTTGTGGAAAACCGCACCCGACCCGGCCGATGATGCTTCAAATCAGCTAAACTCTTTCCAACCAATTCCATGACCAAGAAGAAGTAAGTTTCCTTTTTTCCTCGGTCGATAATTGAAGTAAAGTGAGATAGTTTTCGTTCTTGTGACACGAGTTTTAGGATGGCTATCTGAAATGAAGGTATGAGTTTTTAGTTTGTTAACTGCTGTTTTGGCCGCAGTTCGCCTTGCGAATGTTTCACAAGAATGCTGGGTTGTGAACAAAACTTTCGCCCCAGACGGGATTTGAACCCCGTTCTTTACCGGGCAAGTGCGCTACAGGTTACGCCGGGTATAAGTGAGTGGTGCAAGTTCGTTATCAGTGTTTGTTCTCAACTGCTACAGCGTATCAAATCATGTGTCTGTGACTAGAAGAAATCCGGCTTCTACGATACGGACAAACCCCATTAAAGATTAGATTTATTATATGCTGGAAAATGGCTTACTTAGAAGGTGACTCAATAGGAAAACTAATCAAGCCGCACGAGGAGAAATTTGGAGAAGAAGGTACATATAAAGGGGGGAAAGACATTTGCCCATTTGTGACATTCGGCCCTTTTTTCTTCGCAGAGATTGCCGTCGTTGACGGAAGTTCCTCAGCAGAGTATTCCCTAATGTCCCTCTATAAGTAAACGCAGGCCCTCCTTCACTGCCCTCACCGTCTTCAGAATATGACGTCATCTGTCACCGTCGTCAAGCTCAAGGAGGCCTACGTAAGTGCTTCAGCCTGAAGCTCTTACGTAATTTACTTGATTGATTTAATTAATTTTTGATCTACGTTAATTAATTTTTACGGCTGCAGAGTGGCTAAATGAGGACAAGCCACTTTTAGCTTGGCCTTTGCCATGTGAGGTCGTGGTGGATGTTGTTGGCCACTGCCGGTCCATGGTTTTTTTTTTCGAAATTTTGCTAGAGTCGAGCAGAAACTCCTCGGTTTGTTATCGAAACTGACGAGCAAAGAATTGGAGTGACCTCCATTTTGAGCTTCGAATGTTTCCGAGTTTCTAATTTCTTCTCCACTTTCATGGCGAATAGTTTGGTCGGATCCTTCTGATCATGTACTCTGCAATTCGGTTGCATTTTGTTTGACCTGTCGTAATATTCTTGGATACAGAAAACGACTTCTTGAAGCTAAGTCGCTCTTTGAGCACGCATGCGTTCGGATAATCATGAAGCTGTAGGAAGAGAACGGAATGACGGAAAGGTCGGGACAGGCATGGGTAAAGGAAAGTGTTACAGGCAGTATGACGAGGAGAGGATGCGAGAGCATGTTTGATAAGAACGCCACAATTAAAATTAAAGACACCACAGGTAGGAAATGAGAAGCTTGTTCAACGAAGCATAGATTCCTACTATATATAAGCGGCTAGCGTGTTGGTGTGTGTGTGTGTTTGACCGGAAATTCATAGCTCGAGTCACAGTAACGATAGCGCAGTGGTTCTTACATATGTTATAGGGGGTGGGATGGGGACACAAGTGGTACGTGATAGGAACTGATAACGACTGATAATAGCTGATAAGAGGGGCTAGAAAGCGAGCATCGCCAATTTCGTTTTGTCGTTCATATTGGTACTAGAGCGTCTATACTTACAAGTGTTATGTGGGGTGGTCCCGGGACATTGGTGGTACATGATGGAAGCGATAGCAACTGATAAGGGCTGATAAGATGCGTCAGAACGCAAAAGTCGTCGATTCCGTTGCCTGGCTCGCGTTGACACCAGAGCAACCATACTTACAAGTGTTATGTGGGGTGGGACGGGGACATTGTTGGTGGGTGCCAGAAACTGATAACGATTGATAAGGGCTGATAAGGCGCGTCAGAACGCAAAAGTCGTCGATTCCGTTACCAGCTCGCGTTGACACTAGAGCGTCCATACTTACAAGTTTATGTGGGGTGGAGGGCGGAAGTGGTGTAGTGGCAAGTGGCGCGCTTACCACGCGAGCGGTCCGGGGATCAAATCCTGGGTCGTGAGTCGCCCGGGCCAACCAAGCCTTCCATCCCTCCGGGGTCGGTTAATTGGTACCAGACTTGTGACTGATAAAGCCAACGAGAAGCGAAAGGGAAACAGAACTAGAGAAAATGCAGCTGGGGAAAAGATAAAGAGATGCAATACGCAGTGAAGAAAGAATAACAGAAGTGAGTGATGTCAAAACAACTAGTGAGAGAAGAAGAACAGAACTTCAAGAATTGAATAAGTACAATGGAAAGCACAAAGAAGTAATCCAGCGTTAACCATATTGATTCATAAGTATCCTGTTCGACTTCCAGTAAATCTTGGCGTGGTCCATATTGATTCATCAAAAGCAGCAACATAGGATGAGGCCAATTTGATCAATTTCTAGTCTTGTGCGCAAGATAGAGCTGTCCAAGAGGATAACAGAGGTGCCCCTGCAGCGACTCAAAGGTGCATGACCGGCGCTGGAGCTTTCCAATATGAGCACATCTGAGTAAATGCGAGCAAATACCCGACATTCTTCGTACGCGGCCCCAAGCATGAATGTGGTATGACATGGCGTCAGCATGAGAGTGTTTTTGGCTTGCATGGCCGCAGTGTGCGTGCTTGCAGAATCGAATCATTCTGCTCTACTACCCTTTACACGGAGCAACTGCTGCCATGGAGTCAGCATAGCAAGAAGCTTGTTCAAAAGCTCCCTTACTCATCCCAAGGCCAAGAGGAAACGTCCTTGTTGAGCACTTCATCAGCAATTTTCTTACGCCTTCTTCGTGTACGGTCAACTGCGCACAGTTAAAAAGCTTTTATTTATTTATTTTTCTGGACTGTACTTTTGGTGTATCCAAACAAAACCAGAACTCGTTTTAGTCGGCCATAAAGCTAAGGATAAAACAAAATAAGTATCGAAGGTTTTGCCTGACCGATGCCGCTGTTCCAAAGTTCTACACGGGATCGGACCATCGTCTCCTCCGCGCAAGATTCCACTTCTCGATGCGTGTTGAGAGAGCAGCAAAGTTCAGGAAGCGAAGCCCCAGGACAGTCATCAACTGGGATCACTTCACTTCCCTTGTCAGCTTATGGGAGGATTCCGTTATCGAAAACATCGAGATCGGCTCGTTGAACACCTTCACGAGAGTGGCAGGAAGGCAGAGAGTTTGAAAGTCACCAAAGGGACGTCTGTCTACGGAAACTCTCGAGCTGATACGCCAACGTGGAGCCGCACGAGCTGCAGGCAATCACCAACTCACGTCCGAGCTTGCGAAGCTATGCAGAGAGGCGATAAAGGAAGATCTCAAGGAGCGAAGAGCAGCAGTATTAGCTGAAGCAGCAGAGGCTCGAAAGCTTTGCCAGCTACAAGACCAAGATGACCTGCCTCCGACGTCCGGATGGAACAGTTACTGCATCCCGAAGGGCAATGGAGAAAGTCATCCACGACTTCTACTCGGATCTCTTCGATAGCCATGTCCATCTGCCTACTTATCAACCGCAAGAGGATGGATACGTTGTCCCTTCAGTTCTCTCTTCCGAAGTCCGACACGCCATCAAGTCGGTGAAGAATTGTACAGCGCCCGGTCTCGACAGGTTAAAACCGGAACATCTGCACGCAGTCTATCACCAAACTTATGAGCTCAGACTCTTTATGCGTTACCTGTCGGAATGTAAGGTGCCCACCCCGTAGAAAACCGGCAGGACTGTGCTTTGTTACAAGAAGGGAGACTTCGACGACATTGGCAACGCCCAATCTGCCTGCTGTTTTCAATCTACAAGCTATTCACTCGAGTCACCCTTAACAGATTCGTATATGAAGGACAGCCATGCGAGCAAGCAGGGTTTCGAAGAGAGTTTAGAACGATAAACCATACGCACACAATTACAAGACTCATTGAAGTTTAAAGATGCCGCTACTTTGTCTCATATTTATCCGACTAGAAAGGACTATGACTACGATGCGCAGAACGGTCCCGAAGCTTGGGCCAACCAGGCTGTTTCCTTCTCAGCTAACCTAAGATTCTTCGTAAGCTCTACAGCAATTTTACGATCATTCTACAAGGAGGTCATCATCGACGTCAAGAGAGGGGTCCGACAGGGCGACACCATCTCGCCCAAACTCTTCAGCGCCGCTCTCGAGAACGTCATGCGTCAACTGGAATGGGAAGACATGGGAGTGAAGGTCGACGGCCGGCAACTACACCACCTTCAGTTTGCTGTAATAAACGCGTTGATAACGTTGGCAGTAAGGCGCGTCCGAAGCAAAGCTCGTTCAGTTTCGTACGCAGAATGAGCCAGCTCGCGTTGACACCAGAGCAACCATACTTACAAGTGTTATGTGGGGTGGACGGGGACATTGTTGGTGGGTGCCAGAAACTGATAACGATTGATAAGGGCTGATAAGGCGCGTCAGAACGCAAAAGTCGTCAATTCCGTTACGCAGCGTTGACACTAGAGCGTTCCTACTTACAAATTGTAGTAAGTCGTAGTAGTACAAACAAAGGTACGTGCACATTATTTCGATATATATCCAGCTTACTTAATAGAATTCGACTGCATAAACTTTAAAAAACAAGTCTTCAGCAAATGATAAGTTTCATTTCTGACTATTAAGAAAACCCAAATCATTAAACCGCTAATCCTTTCGTGGTTCTAAATAATGAATGTAAATGAATGATAAGCATTAGCTCCTCACTTATGTACAGTCGATATCTCGAAGTCTGATTAGGCGTGTCACCGGAAATGACGTGGCAGCCACCGCACTTGATAGATGTTGTGGATAAAATACTCCGCCAGATATCAGCAAAGCGTGTTGGAAGCAGCTTATCCGCGCAACTTCTATCAAGTGGTGGCTGCCACGTCATTTCCGGTGACACGCCCAATCAGACTTCGAGATATCTCGACTGTAAAAATAGGCATATTTCATTTTGATTTTGAGACTGACAGCAATCCTATTCACCGCTAAATTATCTTAATTCAAGAAGAATGCTGGATGTTTACAGTTGTGATCAATATACCAGTTCAGCTCAGACGTTATCACGCGTATTCTCGATGAGCTTCAGTGAAACTGTGGAGGGTCTAACACAGTCAATAGTGAGATGGTTAATGGAGTATCTCATGCTGATATTCCATGGGTCCTCCAATTTCGCTAAAGCCTGTGATGCGCGCGATAGCGGGCGAAGCAAAACTGGTGTCGTAATAACTCCGGACCCCTCGACAGCATAGCGAATGCTGCTGTTTTGCTTGGGCTCTCAGCGCCTGTGGTGGTTGGTCTAGTGGCGCCTAAACTCTAAAGAGATGGTTTATCCGAGGAGAGCGGATGAGGCGGTGGCGCTGATGCCGGCGGGCGCCCATTCAGGCGGGTCAGCATGAACGAGATCATGCACCGGGAATGTCCAGGCCGTGTACCTCATGTCGATAAATCAAGCCATCGCTACTCAGAATTAATCGCGCTAAGTATGTCTGTCTGGTGTGATGTGTGTGCGGTCCGTATTGTCGCAGAAATTCATAGCTCGAGTCACAGTAACGATAGCACAATTGTTCTTTCATATGTTACAGGGGGTTGATGGGGACACAAGTGGTACGTGATAGGAACTGATAACGACTGATAATAGCTGATAAGAGGGGCTAGAAAGCGAGCATCGCCAATTTCGTTTTGCCGTTCATATTGGTAAAAGAGCGTCTATACTTACAAGTCTTATGTGGGGCGGTCCCGGAACATTGGTGGTACATGATTGGAAGCGATAGCAACTGATAATGGCTGATAAGGTGCGCTAGAACGCAAAAGTCGTCGATTCCCTGTGTCCTGAACTCGCATGAACCGCCAGCGTCCATACTGACAAAGTGTTATGTGGGGTGGGACGGGGAACATTGTTGATGGGTGATTGAAAGTGATTGCAACTGATAAGGGCTGATAAGGGCGCGTCAGAACGCAAAAGTCGTCAATTCCGTTACGCAGCTTGCGTTGACACTAGAGCGTCCATACTCGCAGGTGTCATGTGGGGTGGGACGGGGACATTGTTGGTGGGTGATTGAAGTGATTACAACTAATAAGGGCTGATAAGGCGCTAGAACGCAAAAGTTCGTCAGTCCCGTTACGCAGCTTGCGTTGACACTGGAA